TTTTCCCCCAAATCTCATATATCCCAGAGCAGTTCCTTGCCTTTGGATGGCAAAGCAATACAGGACATTCCCATCCCTTTTCCCTAAATCTCGGATCCATTTGGTTATTTATGTGCGAGGTTCCAAAATTAAGCCCAAATTGTTTAATTCCCTTGAAATTGAATCTGTTGCATGGAGGATCTATGGATGCACATCCCTGGAATTGCCCAAGGACAGGTTGGACAAGGCTTGGAGCATCCTAGTCTAGTGGAAAGTGTCCCTACCCACAGAACTGGATGAGTTTAAGGTCCATTCCATCCCAAACCAACCTGGGATTCCATGAAATTTAGGAAACAGCCTCCATTTTGATGGAACTTTACAGTCTCATTCCATAATATTAAAATCACTGCCTCCATTAAAATCTTATTCCCAAAAATATATCCTAAGGCTGACTAACACCGGACATCACCAGGGATTTGGGTCATGCTTCCTAAAAATAGAATCCCAAATTCACCTTGGGAATTCAGATCAGCAGCCTGTTCCCTTCTCCTGAGGATTGGGAATGGAGACTCTTCTGGAAGATTTGGAGCTGCTGGGAATTGGGATACAGGCACCAACCACCTTTTTGGTGGTCCCACATTCCCATTTCCGTGCTCATGGAGTCACCTCAGTGCTGCTCCTCCTCTCCAGCACCCAGATGGGATTTGATGGGATTTGTGGTACTGAGGACTTGGAAAATTCCATGTTTTTTGAGCAGACAAATCCGATGATATCCCTGAGATGGAGAGTGAATCCTCAATACCGTTCCCGTTTTATTTACACTGTTATTTAATGGAAAACAGCCCAGGAGATGATTTTCCCTGTTTTTTTTCCCAGTCCAGGCAGTGTGAATTATTTGAAATCTGTAATTCCCAAATTAAGATTGATCATTTCTGTTCACCCTGGTTGGGGATTTTTTTGGAATTCAGGTTTGCTCTGCACTGAATTAAACTGTAGGAAAAGCATCACCTGGAATTCCAAACCAAATTCCACTTGCTTGTTTTGTACCTATGTTTGGAATTGGATCAACTCCGTTTGGAATTTAATACATGGAGAGACAAAACTCCTCAGCAGAGAGGAGGAATGGTGAGCCCCAACCTGTGGTTTTTCCCGTCTTCCAGCACTTTTGAACTTCTAGGGAATAAAATCCTTTAATAATTTATGATTAATGTTCTTTAGCAGCCAAATTCCCTTAATGCTGGTGACTGAAAAAGGCAGGAAGGAACTCTTCCTATACAGGGAGTGCTCCCACTTTTTCTCTTGGTGTTTGTATTGTTTTCTCTCTAAACTCAGGGTAATTCAAACTTTTATTCCCAGATTTAAATGGAAAAATCATTCACAGATTTAACGGGGAGAGGAAAATTTGGCAATTAAAACATGAATATTCAGAACATCCAATTTTATTTCCGTGTTCTTCCACAAATCCCGGGATCTGAAGTACCAAACGCACAACCGTGTTTAAGTTGGTTTTTGGGATGTTTTTCCCTCTAAATACACCCTGATCCCAGGAATAAGCCCTTGGAATTTAAGAACTCATTGCTCCTGAACATCACGATCCAGAATTTCTCTTCTGGAGCGTGGAGAGGACTCAGTTTTTCCTCCATCCCAACTGTGCCAAGGGGCACTCCAGAGCTCCCACAGCTGTTGGCTGCTGGATGTTGGGATCGGGGCTGCCATACATCCATTTGTATCCCACTGTGTCTTCCCACTTCCCGCAGGGAATGGTGCTCTCCGCCGAGTACATCAAGAAGAAGCTGGAGCAGGAAATGGTGCTTTCCCAAGCCTTCGGACGTGACTTGGTGAGTTACAGTTTTCCTTCCAGACAGAGGATGAGAATTCCCTATAAACCTGGGTTTTAAGGGAATTGCCGTGTCCCGAATGCCTTGTATTAATTTCTCAACTCTCCCTTTAATTCCCGTCCCTCTGGATTGCCAGCTCACTCACGGAATCCTGGAATTTGGCGTTGTAAGGGACCCTAAAACTCCTCGGGTTCCACCCCCCTGCCGTGGGAAGAGAACATTCCACAAGACCAGGTTGCTCCTCAAGGCTTTTTTATTTTGGAACCCCCAGCACTGCAGAGCTCCTCATTATTCTCTTTTTCCTAAGGCAGGAAGTCCCACATGGGAATGCGGGACAGGGAACACTAAAACCAAGCCAACAGGAACTAAAATCTCATCTCTGTGGAGATTCTTTCCGGAATGCTGTCTCTGGGAGCACATTCCTGGTGGCAGGGAGCTATCAGAGATCCCAAGGGAGGCGTTGGGAAGCAACTTACCTTGGTTTATGGGTTGGGAATAGCTGTGGAAGTGCTGCCTCGGGATGTTTGGTGGATGGAGGGAGAGACACTCCAGCATCCGGCTTCATCCCTCCCTGCCTGGAAATGGAATATCGGGTTTGTTCCCGTTAATCAGGAGGAATTTTTCCTGGCTTTAGGTACATAAATGCCATCCCAGCTCCCACCAAAGGTTCCTGTATCTCAGGATATTGTTTCTGACATTTGCCAGCAACAGATATTCCAGGGAAAAGGATCCAGAGAGGTGGAGAAACACTTTCTCCATGGATTTGAATATTATCAGGAAGCTGTGAGGTTTGAGGAAGGGCCAAAGGCTCCTGTCAAATCCCAAAGAATTCAAACAGCTGGTGTGCATTTCCTGTTTCTTCCCATCTTTTTTCTTCCAGGGAAGAGCCAGTAGGTCAAACACTGATGGAGATGTAGAATTCCAGAAGTGAGTGAATTCCAGCATCCGGGGCCTGGAGTGCCAGGACAAGGGGGAATGGCTTCCCACTGACAGAGGGCAGGGTCAAATGGGATATTGGGAAGAAATCCTTCCCTATCCTTCCCCAGGGGATGGTGAGGCCCTGGAATGGATTTCCCAGGGAAACTGTGGCTCCCCCGTGCCTGGAAGTGTCCAAGGCCAGGTTGGACAGGTCTTGGAGCGACCTGGGATAGTGGAAGGTGTTGGGATTGGAACTAGATGAGCTTCAAGGTCCCTTCCCGCTCAAACCATTCCAGGATTCCATGATTATTCCGTGATTCAGAACAAGGAGCTGTTCAGCTGGAATCTGGAGCTTTCGTGTATAAAAACCACTCAAAAACCTGGGGAAAGGGAGAGATTTGGGGGATAAATCCCCATTAATTTTCAGTGTGACGTCCATTTCTTGTTGGTTTTGGTTTCCAGGGAAGAGGGACAAAACACTATGGCTTGATTGTGGTTGGCCATTCCCTGGGAGCTGGAACTGCTGCCATCCTGTCCTTCCTGCTGCGCCCCCAGTACCCCTCCCTGAAGTGCTTTGCCTATTCCCCCCCAGGTGGGCTGCTCAGGTAGGTCTTGGGATACAGGTGGGACTGGAGCTGGAGCACAGCCCGGTTGGGATCCTCTAAGGAGCAGTAGAAGGGACAGGCAGCCTGGATTTGCCGAGTGTTCCCTCTGTGGTAGAGTTGGGAATTCAGGGTAGGACGGCAGGTGGCCGCTCTCCCAAATATTCCTGAGTTGTCTATGGCTCTGATTTTAATGGAAAACACAAGTTGGATGCAATTTCCATACTCTTTGCCCAGTCCTGATCCAGTTGTTTGGATTCCTTTTCCAAAGAAACTTCACCTCACTTTGGGATGTGATTTCTCCCATTCCAAAGCGATGCCTAAAGGGTAGAGGGATTGTGCTTTTTGGGTGCTGGTTTCCCTCCCAAGGGAGAGAGAATAATGGGGAATTCCTCCCATTGTAAATGGGAACAGACCTTCTGGTCACATTATTCCCAAACAGAACCATCCCATGGGATTGCTGGCAAGTGAGGAAAGGTCTTTCTGGTTGTCGTGGGGATCCTTGAAATTGGCTCTGGATTCTCTGAAGCCGCTTGTGGCAGTTCCTGCATCATATTCCAGGAGCAACCAAGAGTTTTAAACCGTCCTGCTGATGGATCTGGATGTTGGCATTCCTTGTTGTTGTCATTCCTGGTTTTCTGCAGCCACAGAGCTACAGAGGAGGATGTTCCGTGAGAGTTTTGTGGCTTTTCGTTCAGAAATTCCACTTCCGGATCCCTTGGAGCTCCTGGCTTGTGTTGTGCCTAGGATCATCTCCAGGAAGCTCCACAGAGTGGGAATCTTAATTCCTTCCCTCTCAGTCCTCAGGTTGCTCTGGAAACTTGCCATCTGAGTTCTCCGCAGTATTTCATTCCACAGTGTCTTTGTCAAGTAGCCTCAGGAGCACGGAATATCTTCTTCCTTGGCTGCCCTGCCATTCCCAAACTCTTGGAAAATGGCTGTGAGGCATTGAGTTAAAGTACTTCCTTTCCCAGGTATATCCAGAGCCACGTGCAGGGGAATGTTTGAGCCGTGGGATGTGGATATGAGGCTTTTCCTTCCCAAGGTGCAAATCCCAAAAGCCTGGAAGTAGCTTGGATTGGGGTTTCATGCCCCTGGTTCTCTGCCACTGGACTGGGAATGAAACACTGTTTGCTTCTTCCTGCTCCTGTTTCTCTTCCAGTGAGGATGCCATGGAGTATTCCAAGGAGTTTGTGACTGCAGTGGTGCTTGGGAAAGATCTGGTGCCCAGGCAAGTGGAGGAGTGTCCCAAATCCTTGATGAGTATTTGTTGTCCTGTCCTCAAATCATCCATTTCCTGTCAGAAACACATGGATCATCTGTCTCCAGACTCCTCATTTGCCTGTCCTTGTCTTGTTCCTCATTTATCTGCCTGGTTCCTTGTGTTGTTCCTTATTTATCCTCCTGCTTCCCTGTGTTTTCCCTGGGCACCTCTATTGGTGCTCCACACACCTTTTTATAGGCAAATCCTTCCTGTGTGCCAGAAAAGTGGGAATATCCTGCCTCTGGAATCACTCACTGTGGTCCCTGGAGTATCAGTGTTGTCTTCCCAGTTTCCTGTGTTATTTTGGATGTGCTGTCACGTCATGTTTGTCCCAGAATTCCTGTTCCGTCCCATCTCATATCTCTGACCCAGTTCATTCCTTGGCATCTCTCACCTTCCTCATCTCCTGGGATATGTTCTGCTGAGCAGGGATTTGGGCCGGGACAGACAACCTGGCATTTCCCTGGATGACATGACCTGCTCCATCCCGGAATTTCCTCACAGGTGTCACTCAGCTCCGAGACACCTTCCCAAGTCACCTGTTCCGTGTCATCCTTCCCGGGCTTCTGGGATTCCACTGTCAGCTCCCTGTTCCCTGAGCTCTCTCCACTCTGTGTTCCCTGCTCTGCTCCTGTTCACTGTCCCAATGGTTCCCGGGGCCCCTCTCCCCCTGTTCCTGCTCCGGGCTGATGCCACAACCCACCTTGGAAACCTGCACTGCTTTTCCCCCACTCCCAATTCCAGTCCCCGTCCACTCCGGGTTTTTCCATTCCAGATTCCTACCCCAGTCTGAGTTTCTCCCCATTATGGATCCTGGCCCTGATCCAGTCTGGGCTCCCCGTTCCAGATCTGGAGCTGAATCCAGTCCGGGTTTTCCCCCATTCCAGATCTTGGTCTGAATCCAGTCTGGGTTTTCCCTCATTCCCAGTTCTGACTGTGATCTAGTCCAGGCTTTCCCCCATTCCAGATTCCAGCCCCAATCTTTCCCCCATTCTGGATTCTGGGCCTGATCCAGTCTGGGTTTTCCCCATTCTGGATTCCAGGCATTATCCAGTCTGGGTTTTCCCCCATTCCAAATTTCACCCTGATTCAGTCTGGGTTTTCCCCTATTCCCAATTCCAGCGCTAATCCAGTCCGGGTTTTCCCCCATTCCAGATCCCAGCCCTGATCCAGCCTGAGTTTTCCCTCATCCCCAATTCCAGCCCTGATCCAGTATCCTGGTAGTATCCTTTTGAATGTGATTCCTTGTTCTTCTGTGCCCACGTGTCCTTCCCATCCCATTCCCTGCCCAGGTGTTCCAAACACGTCTCCCTCTTTTCCATAACCCAATCTTCCTGTTTTCCTTACTCCCACTTTCCTCTCTTCCAGGATCGGGCTCTCCCAGCTGGAGGGATTCCGCCGGCAGCTCCTGGATGTTCTCCAAAGAAGCACCAAACCAAAGGTGAGAGGGAAGAGGGACAAACACCTGGAAGTGTCTCCGGGCAAGGATAAGGAATTGTAGTGGCGGGAAGGGCAGGTTTCCTTCAGGGATCACTCTTTAGGGAACTGCAGGAATGATGGGAAGAGAAGCAAGGAGAGGTCAATGGGCTGGTTCCCACTCAGGTGTTCCAAGTTCACCGTCACAGATCCCAAATAACGGAGCAGGGAATTTTCTGTCCAAGCCTGTTTTGGTGTCTATGTTTCCAGTGTGGATTTTTTTCAGCTGGGAAAAATCTGGGAACAGACTGGAATAATCTGTTTATAGGCATGGCTGGGTGATGCTGGGATAAGGAGTCTGGTCATGTTTTGGACATGGGAAATGTGGGAATTGTCCCTTCCCAGTCTCCACCATTACACTGAGATAGGACAAAACCGTAAACCATGAAGATTTTTAGGGATAAAACATCACAGGAATTACCTGGAAAGGGAGAAAACTGAGCTTGTATTTATTTCTGTTGTTAAATTCTAATTTTTGTGGTTTGGCTTCAGGTTCTTGGACAATTCTTCATGATTTTTGAGGGAGTTTTGTGGATTGTAGGGGGTTTTTTGGTGTTTTTTTCCTGGTTTTTTTAGGGTTGTTTTCCAGTGGGATTTTTTTGTGTGTGTGTGTGTTTTCTTAGGGTTTTTTTTGGGGTGGGTTCTTAATTTTTTAGTGGGTTTTTTTGGTGCTTTTTAGGACTTCGTTTTGGTGTTTTTTAAGGTCTTTGGTGGGGTTTTTGGTGGGTTTTTAAGGGTTTTTTGGTGGTTTCCTAGGAGTTTTTTGTGCTTTTCGTTGCATTTTTTAGGGGGGTTGGTGGGGTTTTGTGGTTTTTTAGGGCTTTTTTTGGTGGCTTGTGGGGGGTTGTGTTTTTTAAGTTTTTGGGGGTTTTTTTTAGGGTTTTTTTGGTGAGTTTCTAAGTTTTTTAGTGGGGTTTTGGTGGGTTTTTGGTAGTTTATTTTAGGGAGGTTTTGTGGGTTTTTAGGGGGATTTGGTGCTTTTTTTAGGTTTTTTTTGTGGGGGTTTTTTGGTTTTTTTGGGGTTGGTGGGTTTTTAGGGTTTTTTTTTGGTGGGTTTGGGGGGTTTTTTAGTGCCTACAGTCCTAAAAAGCTTTTTTACCTGCATTATTTAATCTCATCCTTGTTTTTGTCCATTAAAAATTGCTTCCATTCACTTCCTTTATCCTGGAGGATACCAATTTAAAAGTTGAGGGACATCAATCCTATAGGTCCTTAACTATCTCAGGAAAAACAAGGAGAGACGGGATGTTGGCTTAAAATTGGGGAAGAAAAACCAACTTTGCAGAAACACCGGGATCATTTCTGTCTTTAGCTTCCTCATTTCCCTGGCCTTGTGTTGTTCCTCACTTATCCTCCTGCTTCTCCATGTTGTTCCTCACTTATCCTCCTGCTTCCCCGTGTTTTCCCTGTCTGTCTCTATTGTTGTTTCCCACACCTTTTTATAGGCAATTTCCTCCTACATGACAGAGAATGGGGAATATCCCACCTCTGGAATTGCTATCCCTGGCACAGGGCTATCCCTGACTCCTGTTTCTGGGATCATTGCCCCAAACCCGGGATTTCTGCCCTTTGTCCCGTTCAAACCTCCCGAGTCCCGCCAGGTGACCGCGCTTTTCCGTGCTTTTCCCCCTCCTCGCCGCTCCCGCTCCTCCCTCAGTGGCGGATCATCGTGGGGGCCACCAAGTGCATTCCCAAGTCGGAGCTTCCCGAGGAGCCGGAGGAGAGCTCAGTGCCGAGCCAGCGGCTGTGGGCTCACCCCAGCGACCTGACGATCGCGCTGTCGGCCAGCACGCCCCTCTACCCGCCCGGCCGCATCATCCACGTCGTGCACAACCACCCCGCTGAGCAGTGCTGGTGAGTCCTGCCATTCCCAGCAGGAAAACGCTTGGAGAGAAGAATTAAGGGTTTTTTTTTTCCCTACCGTCCCGTGGGAATGGCGTAGAACGGTTTAGGTTGGAATGGGACCGTAAAGGTCTGTGGGCAGGGACACCTCCCGCTGCTCCAGGGTGCTCCAAGCTGGCCTGGAGCACCTCCAGGGATGGGGCAGCTGCAGCTTCCCCGGGAAATCCATTCCAGGACCTGAGCACCCTCACGGGGAAGAGTTTCTTCCCAGCGTCCCATGTAAACCAGCACGTGGAGTCCTGGAATGGTTTGGAATGGAAGGGGCTTGAGGATCATCCAATCCCACCCCCTGCCACGGCAGGGACACCTTCCGCTGCTCCAGGTTGCTCCAAGCTGGCCTGGAGCACCTCCAAGGATGGGGCAGCTGCAGCTTCCCTGCGAAATCCCATTCCAGGGCCTCACCTCTGTCACAGGGAAGGATTTCTTCCCAGTGTCCCACCTAAACCCACATTCTGGCAGTGGGAAGCCATTCCCCCTTGTCCTGTCCCTCTGGGCCCTTCTCCAAATTCCATCTCCAGCTCTCTGGGAGCCCCTTCAGGCACTGGGATGTCATTCCCTGTTGGATAATGCAGATTTTGGAGCAGCACGTGCTTCAACATCTCCTACCTCTGTTTTTCCTGCTGTTCTGCTTTTTCTCCCTCTCCAACCCAAACATTTCCCTGCTCTTTCATCCCGTTTTCCCCTTTGTTTGGATCCCTTTTCCAGCTGCTGCGAGCAGGAGGATCCCACTTATTTCGCCATCTGGGGGGACAACAAGGCCTTCAACGAGGTGATCATCTCCCCGGCCATGCTCCATGAACACCTTCCCTATGTGGTCATGGAAGGGCTCAACAAGGTAAGGGAATTAGGATCCCGAACATCCACGTGGGATAGTCACTCCTTGCCCTGGAGTGCTGGAGGTTTAATTGCACGAGGCCGTTTATTTTGGGGAAGAGGAGGAAAAGTGCTGATGCTCCAGGTCAGTCGGGCACGGGATGTTGGAGCTGGATGTGGTGAGGTCTGGGAATGGAATTCCCAGAGTTCCCAGTCCTGTTTCCAAACTTCACGTCGGAATAACGGGAGGTTGGGGGGTGGTTGGTTCATTCCAGGAGGTGCCCATTGGATGGGTCCAGGTGACATCCGGGGGGATATGTCAGGATTTATCCATCTAATCCTTTATCTCCAGACCTTTCCTTGTGCTTCCAGGCGGCTTTGGGAAGAAAGAGGCAAATCCAGCTCCCAGTAAATCCCTGCTGTTCCTCTCCTTGCCTTGGACAGGTCTTGGAAAACTACAACAAGGGGAAAACCGCTTTGCTTTCCGCAGCCAAGGTGATGGTGAGTCCGACGGAAGTGGATCTCACCCCGGAGCTGATATTCCAGAGCCAGCCCTTGCCCAGCGGCCCTTCCATTCAGGTGGGAACTGGAGCCATCCCAGCGGACAGGAGGAACAGCAGCACCAAGTAAGGATGGATTTGGGCAGGAATATTGGCTCTGGGTGTGGATCCTCTCCCTCTTGGAGCACTGTGATCCGTGTTTATGGATAGATCCAAGGGATGCCTTTGTGGGACTTGTGTCAGGGGGAAAAGATCCTTTGTGTTCCTGAGGAATCTGAGTGGAGCAAGGTCAGGAGAACATACAGGGTGTGGAAGAAACCTCCTTTGCTCCTTATCCAGACAAATCTGGTTTTCCCAAGGTGAAACTTCCAGCCAAATTTGGTGATTTTCCAAAGCTTAGCACAACATATACATTTAAACTGCTTCATGCTGGGATTTATGGAATATTACAAACAGGATCACGTTGGGAACATGGATATAGGTGAGGGGAAAGCAGTTGATGTCCTGTTTGGGAAGGATAAGAGCAGGAAATCCAGCGGAAAATAGGGAAGAGGCGTATTCCAAGTGCTGAAGGTGTTCCCCTGTCTCGACTGGCAGGGAAAACAGGTAAAATGAAGGAGGGGAGATGGTAGCTGTGAGTGGAACCAGGAGATGGAACTGTGCGGGTGGGAAGGGATAATTCCTTGGCAAGGGAAGCACTTCCATGGGGTTTTCAGGGAGAGAGACCCAACAAGGAGCTGTGGGGTGAGGGATTTCTGGATAAGTGTGAGATCATAGAAGGGAGACTTAAATTCAGAGGGAAGATGAGGCAGCAGATAATGTGGAAAAATGGGAATATTCTTGTCGCAGAGAGTGAAGGGTCAGAGGCAGTGAAGGAGAGCTTGGAAGCAGAACACAGCTGGGGTGGAACAGGGATTGTCCCAGGTTTTTGAGGACTACAGTAAGACTGGGAAGATGGTGTTTAATTCCAGGTTAGAACCATCTTAATGTGTCAGATTTCCTCTTTTGGGATTCTTGTAATTTCTTCCTAGATCACTGTTACTCCACTGAAGCTGCAGAGGGATCAGATATTGCCTTACCTCATGAAGCATTCCCTGTATATCCCAGCCCTTTGGCAGGGGCAGGAGTCCTCTCTCAAACTGACTCTCTTCCCAAATACTTGCATAATTCCATGTCCTTAAGGCTGTTGAGCCTGGTGTAGGAGCTCCTTCCCTGTGTTTTTCTGGAAGAGCCTACCTGATCCTTAAAATCTTGGTGTAGCTGGAGTTTTCCTACCTGTCATAAAGGCTGATCATGGAAAATGCTCTGACAGCCTCATGGAATTTGTAGTGGGATCACCAGCACGGAGAAGGAGGGGAAAGCCTGAACCTGGAGTGGTTCCGGAGTGGGAAAAGAAGGAGAAAGTGGGTTAAGTGTAGGTTGGTCCTAAATCTCTCTCCCCTAAATCCTCTTTAATGCAGAGGTTTTGGATGCTTTGGAAGTGCTGCAGGTTTCTCTGGGAGCAGAGCCATGATCCCAAGTGACAGTGGTGCTGGAGAAGGAAGACATCGGGAGAATCACGGGATGGTTTGAGATGGAAGAGACCTTAAACACCATCTCATTCCAATCCCCTGCCATGGGCAGGGACTCCTTCCACTAGCCCAGGTTGCTCCAACCTGGAACACCACCAGGGATGGGAATTCCACAGCCTCTTTGGGCAGGAGAGAAGGATTTATTTAGCCAGGAAAGCAGGGAGAAGGGCAAGAACCGGAGTTTGCTGAGGGAAGAGTCAGTGTGATATTTTCTGTTGGGAGAACGGAGCAGTGAGGGATTTCCAGGAGTCGTAGATGGGTTTGGCTGGAGGAATTGTGCGAGGAACTCCGTGCCCGAGACTCGGATCCTCTGGCCGCCTCCTCACATTGTCTTTTCCCACCGCAGGAGCAAATCCCACTCGGAGATCAGCCTGGAGGGGTTCTACGAGACGAAGCCGCTTTCCCCGGTGCAGAAGGACCCGGTGGAGCTGCTGCTCCTGGACACCAAGGAGCGCCTTTCCGTGGAGCTGCAGGACCGCCGGGCCCCTCTGGCCACCATGGAGAGCCTCTCGGACAACGAATCCATCTACAGCTTCGACTCGCGGCGCTCCTCCGGCTTCCGCAGCATCCGGGGCTCGCCCAGCCTGCACGCCGTCATGGAGAAGGACGAGACGCACTGCTTCTACATCGACCCCGTCATCCCCGAGGAGAACCCTTCCCTCAGCTCCCGCACGGAGCTGCTGGCCGCCGACAGCCTCTCCAAGCATTCCCAGGAGACTCAGCCCCCGGAGAACGTCCTCAACAGCGGGGAGACCACCCCCCGGCGCCGCTGCAGCGCGGAGGGCGCCGGGAGCGACGGGGAGCGCGGCGGCTCCTCGTCCCCCCGGGAAGAGCCGGCGCTCCACAACGGCCGCCTGGCCGACGTGCCCAGCCCACAGGTGCTGGAGTTCGCCGAGTTCATCGACAGCCTCTTCAACCTGGACAGCAAGAGCAGCTCCTTCCAGGACATCTACTGCATGATGGTGTCGGACAGCTCCAGCGACTTCGCGGAGCTCCCCAAATCCGTGAGCGACCAGGAGATCCTGCTGCGGGCGCAGTACGAGCCCAACCTGGTCCCGAAGCCGCCCAGGCTGTTCGCGGGATCGACGGATCCCTCGTCGGGCATCTCCGTGTCGCCCTCCTTCCCCCTCAGCTCGTCCGGAGAGCTCATGGACATCACTCCCACGGGCGTGAGCAGCCAGGAATGCCTGGCCACGGACAAAATCCGGACTTCCACCCCCTCCGGACACGTAACCAGCCCTGCCAAGCAGGACGACCTCATGATTTCGGCCCTTTAGTGCTTGGGAAAGGGGGTGGAATGATCCCGGTGGGATAATCCATGGAGGAGAGGAGCGGTCGGGATCGGAGGAGACGGCCGGGAACATCCCTTCCGGGGTGGCACAGCGGTGGCTGGAGGATGGATTGCGCTGGAATGCCGTGCATGGAGCTTGGGAGAAGCTTCGCCCCGTGGGGCCTGAGAGGGTCTGAGGCACTAAAATTCCCTACCTCAGCCTGGCTCTCATTCCAGAGGCAGATTCCTTGCCCCGGGGCTCCTGCTGAGTTTGGGAGCGAGACACCCTGCTCTGGGAATCCTCCGGGGTGGATTCCCTGAAACTCGAGGCTGGAGAGTTGGAAGCAGGGGGGGGGGCTGGGATGGATCCCCCCTCCGGAGCAGAGCCGCTGGTTTGGGAGATGAGCGGATTGAGACTCTGGGCCCTGTTGCACTACCACGGATCCGGCCCGAGCTCCAATCCGGCCACTTCCATGGGGATTGCTTTTGTAGGACACTCCCGTTTTAAAGCCATCGGGGCCGTATCCCCCCAAATCCAGCCTCCCATTCCAGGCCGGGCCCAGCGGGAACGGGGCTGGCACCGTGTTTCCTCTCCCCCGAGTATTCCTGAGGGAAGGACGCTGTTCCCAAGAGCCAAATCCCTCTGCCGCGTCCAAGTTCTCCTGGATCTCACCACCGTCGCTCCTGGATTCTCTGGACCCCTCTGAGCTGGCGACATTCCTGCGGGACTGCTGGGATTCTCATCTCAGAGCTGCCTGGAGGGATCAACTGGAAAATTGACCCGGTGTTGTTTTCCGAGTCCCTGTGGAATCCGGGAACCTTTCCTGGGTTGGATCCCTCTGGGTCCTCACACCACCCATATGCAGCAACCATGGATCGGTGGCAGCCTGTCATTGGGAATTCAAGGAAAAGATGGACTTTTTTCCAAGTGTTGAAACCTTGTGTTTACAGAGCTGCTGTTGGGAAGGTATTTATTAAGGAAACAGGGAGGTTTTCCCAAAGGAAAAGCCTGGCCATCCTCTCCTCCCCATGCCTTTTCTGCTGGGGACTGAGGGAAGAGAGGGTGGGCAGGCAAAATTCCAAGTTCCCTGCTTTCCAAGTGGCTGGCATCTGGGGGGAGCTGCCTGCATCCCTCTCCCCCCTCCCTCTCTGCTCCCCTGCACAAGCCCCCGGAGTGAAGCTGGAGGAAGTTGGGAGTAAATCTGCCTGAGCCGCCCCAGGGTCCAGAGGAACCTGCTCAGCTGCTCCAGGCAGGTTTTCCAATGATGGGAGCAGCAGGAAAACTACCTATTTAGGGAATGAAACCCTCTTGTGACCTGGAAAAGGCCCTTTGTTGGCAAAGCAAAGCTCAGCACTTCCTGAGGGGTCTCCCTGGAGTTCTCTCCTCCTTCCCTGGAAAAGGAAGTCCCACTTTACCTTCCTTAGAATCCCGTTGTTGCTCCCCGTCCCCCTCCTTAGCTGAGATCTTTCCATTGTGGGAGGATGCTGTGCTTCCCAGGAGCTGGCAAATCCCTGGGCTCCCCGTGGTGTCCGGAAGCCTTGGGATAGGCCTTCCTTTGGGAATCCAGCAGGAGCACTTTATAACCAATGTGCACTGATGGAAGCAACTCCAGGTGCATGGAATTTCACTGGAATCTCTGTCCAAGTGCTGGTATCCCCCTCACCTGATCACAGGATACACATTCCCTGCTCCTTACCCATTCCAGAGCCTTCCAAAGTGCTTTTGGTGGGAAGTTAAAACATTATCCCTGTGGTTTAAGGTTCCAAAGGTGGCCTTTCCCTGCATGGAATTGGAGCAGAGGAAGCCCCTCTGGATTCAGGGGAATGCGAGGAAGGAAAAATCCTTTGGTTCCAAGGAACTGGAAGTTCCTGTTGTTTTTGTAGGTCCTGTAAAAAGGAGCAGGTTCGGGAGCTCAGCACAGCCCAATCCCTCCCCTCAGGAAGCACCACCAAGGTGATTTTTCAGGAATGCGCACAAAAACCCGGGAAGTTTGGAGGGGAAGAGGGGAGCTGAGGGGCAGGGGGGGCAGGGCTAGCAGGCTAGCTCACTTCCCGGCCCGGGAATGGGAATAAGGAGCTCATTCCTGCCCTTAATCCTGGCAAGAATTAACCCTTAGCACTAAGGCAGAGCTTTGGATCTGCAAAGCACTTTAAAACCTTGAAGAAAGGATCATCTCCGTCCCTGGGAGCCGCAGGGACACCTGGGATTAGGGGGGATCCCTGGGGAGGAGGTGCCTTTAGGTGAGGAAAGTGGGATATCTCCCTCCTAAACGATTCCAGTCGGGATCTGCTGGCATTGAATGGCTCAAATGTTGCACTAGAAAGTCACTTCCCACCTGTGTCCTGGAAAACTCCATCCTTGGCTGACTGGTCCCTTCTCTGGGCCATTGGAACTGTATCCCATGGGAAGGGGGTTCCCTGGCCCTGACTGGAAGCAGCCTGGAATGCTGCATTAAAAGCCTGGCAATCCCTCATTCCTGGGAGCTGGGCTTGCCGTGGATCAAGGAGCAAAGGTGGAAAGGAATCCCTTGGAGGTTCAGATTGTGCCAAACCGTGGACAATTCCTGGGCTCTGGTGTTCCCTCTTGACACACAGATCTGATCCCAGTGCTCCCAAAGGAAATCCGTGTTCTTGGAATTATTACGGCTTTAAATCTCCTTTTGTCTTGATCCCCATCCCTGTGTCTTGATCCCCATCATTCCAAGTCTCAATTCCCATCACTCCTTTGCTCTAAGGGCATTTGGAAAGGCTGATCTCCTATTCCTTCCTGGAAAAGCACCTCTGGAATGCTGGAATAAATGCTAAACCTGCAACTGCCTCCTGCATCCACACTGTTCACACTTCCTGCTTTCTCTGCCCACTCTTTCTTTGGAAATGTGAAGCATCTCCAGGTTTTTCTTGGCTTCTGCTTCCTTCTCTTAAGCTTTGTGCCTTCCAATCTTCCTGTATTCCTGTGATATTCCGACACGATGGCCCACCCTGTGTCGAGGCAGCGCTGGAAGTGCCTGACATCCCAAATCCCAGGCACCCAGTTCCATGTCACATCCTCAAATCCATTGTGATCCTCCTTCCAGCACTGGATGGCCTTTAAAGGCCCTTTCCAATGCAAAGGATTCCAAGAGTTTCTTGGGAGAGGAGCGGAGCATCTGCATCCCTAATAATTGATTTGCTTGTGACTTTACCTGCAGCAGTGCCAGGAATTTTGGGAAGGATGTGCTGAGGGATTTACAAGCCCTCCTCCAATATTTATCCTTATTCCTTCTCCATTTGGAATATTGAATTCCTCCTAAAACTTCCACTTCCCTCTTTTCTTTGCTCCCTGTTCCTCTCACCTCATCCCTCCTCTTATCCCACATCCTTGATAGCTCCACTGGAACAGGGAAAACTGTTCCCTGCAATCTCAGGATGATCCAAAGCAGTTAAATGGAATTCCTGGAATTTTTAACATTTTTCCCCAGGGAAAACTGGATTTTTAGGAGATGTTTTGCTCTCTCCAGAGGACTGGGATGGCAAAGCTGGTGGTGAGTGTGGATGTATAAATCCAATGATTCCCATTTCTGTTCTTTTGGGATATTGTTGCTTCAAATCCCGGAATAGTTGATGGTCCCCAGAAGGATTTAGGTGGGAAATCTTTGTCCAGGGGCACAGAAGGAGGGAAGACTCCAGGAGCAGGATCTAATATATTCCTCAGGCACTTGGATGTTTTCCCAGCTTTTTTTTTTCCTCTTTTCCTGCAGGCAGATGATAATGTTTCCATGGATTTCCAAACTGGGACATAGGAATAATCAGGATTATCCCTGGAAATGGAAATTAAGCAGGAATAGTCATTGCTGTGTTTAGGTTTGTATCCCAGAACCTCCATAGGGTTGGATTTCCATGTTTGCCTTAGGAATTGCTGGGCTGGAGCTCTGCTGGCTGCTGGGTTTATCCCTGTCCAGTCTGGGATATCATTCCCTTGGCTGTAGACCATTCCAGCTTTGCAGGATAGTAGCAGGAACATTTCATTGCCATGTTTTTTTTAGGGATAGGGGTTGTAACTGCATCCTTTGGGGAACATGCAAACGTTCTCAGGGAGGTTGGGGACTCCCCATCCCTGGCATTGTTCCAGGCCAGCTTGGACAGGACTTGGAGCAACCTGGAATTCCAGTGTTCCTGCTGACTCTTTAGGCAGGAAAGGGAGGGTTGGAATTCCAGCAGCTGCTCTGATGATAGATTCCTCTGGAGGAAGGAACTGGAAAGCTCTGGCTGGATCGGGCTCCTTGCATGTTCCCTGAGCCCGTGTGGGGCTGATTTTAGGGAAGAGCCGCTGGATTTCGGGACAAGCACGTTCCTTGTGCCAAAGCTCCCCCTCACGGTGCTCCTGCGATGCTCCAAGTATCCTGCGGGAGGCGAACACTGCCCGTCCTCGGGAAGGAGGAGTGGCAGGAATATTGCGGCTGGAAGCTGGGATTCCACATGAGAGTTCTTGCTCTCCAGCGGGACCCGTAGTGGGGTTATGGATAGGAAGTGGGATGGATCAGGAGCCACTGATGTCCTCTCCTCTCTTCCAGCTCCCAAGGAGCTGCTTAAGGGCTGGAAATTCCAAATATCCGAGGATTAGAGCAGTTCCTTGCTTTGTCACTGGGACCTGCAATCCTGAAAATCAGCAGCTGTCCCCATTCCCGTTGTTTCCTTCCTTGTTCATTGAGTCCATACTTCTTGTGCCTTTGTTTTCCATGGCTTCAGGTCCCAGCCTCCTGCCTGGGACCAGATTTTTGGGATCAGACATCTCCTGCTTCCTTTCCCACTTCTCTGGTTCCATGGATTTGTGGCTGCAGAGCTGCCTTTGCTTCCGAGCCCTCCGGTTCTCCCTCAGCCAGGAATTCCCACTTCTTCCTGCTTTTCTCTGCTGCCTCAGGTCGTATCCAAGTGCCAAAAGCAAATCCTGACCTGGGGCAGGAGGTTCCCTCATCCCTGGCTCTGGAACAGCCACCTTCCAAAGGGAAGCTGCCTGGGAATTTTCCCTGCTTTCCTTGCTGCGTCCTCACTGCGTCCTGACATTCCCACCTTCCCAGACACCTGTGGGATGAGGGGAATCTCTGCCTGGCTCCACCTTGATTCCTGCAAACCCTTAAAGATGGAGCAGTCCAGGAACGAGCCTTGATGCTGGTTTTTGTTGGGATTCTGCTTCCCTGCTTTTCATCCTGGGATTTGTGCGGTTCCCATGGCTCAGACTCGGAGGTCCTGGAACACTGGGAGGAGGTGGCACAGCCCTGCCCTGATGTCCTGCTTTTGGGAAGTTCAGGGATCGTGTCAGGGTGTTTTTCCTCAGACACAGCCAGACTTTTGGGTCTGAACTCTTTTCCCGGGATGTTCCCGGCGCTCGGTGGGATGAGTGGCCTCCCCTGCAGCTCCAGCTTCCCGCTTTTCCCTCCCCCAGTCAGCTGAGCGATGTCCAGGGAATACCCTGAGCTCCCGTCCTAGTGATGAACAGAATTCCTAATGGCACAGGGATTTTTGGGATGGGCTGTGCCTCCCTTCCTGTGTCCGCGAGGCAGGAGGAATGTTGTACCCTGCTCCACCTCTGGAAAAGCCCTTTTTCCTGCTGTGCCCTGTGTCCCATCCCGAGCTGGGGCAGCTCAGAGCAGGAAAACCATGGATCCATTAACTCCTCGCCCCAAATTGCCTCGGTAGAGCTGAAGCCTCTGGAATTTTTGGGAGAACTCTGAGCTGCGCCGAGTGTTCCCCGCGGGGCTCGGAGCACTTGGATATGCACCGGGGAGGGAGGGGGGAACAGCCCAGCTTCCTGCATCCCTCTGCTCATCCTGGGAATGCTGCCTTCCAAATCCCTGCTCCGAGCTGCCCCAGCATGAAGATTCCAAGGAAACTCAAGCACCTCCTCACGTGCCATTCCTTCTCCATGGGACTCTTTTTGTACCGCTGGATGGAAGCTCCGAACTAATCCCGCTGTAAAGAGCAGGCTCCGGAATTATAACCTTATTCCATAGAGATGGATGTATATAAATTTTCTGTATATTCTATGGCACTCTGTATAAAATGGATGTTGGAAGCACGGCTGGAGTATGTGACTCTTCCCAAAGGATGTCCTGGATACAGATGGTTGGGATTTGCCAGAGGTTTACTGCCTTGAGAGGGTTGGGAGTGGGAAGGCCGTGAGGAATTCGGGGTGTGTGTGTCTTGGGAATGCTCCAGGGAAGCACTGAGGGTTGGTTGATGCTTCTCCAGCTCTGTCTGGTCTGGATCTCGGCCTTTGGGAATCACCCAAATGGAGAGGTGGTGGAAGCCACATCCCTGGAAGTGTTCAAATCCAGGGGGGAGCAGCCTGGCCTAGTGGGAGGTGTCGGGGTTGGAACTGGATCTTTCAAGTCCCTTCCCCCCCAGATCATTCCAGGATTTTATGATCCATGTCCCATGAGATCAGTTCTAGGAACATCCCTTCAGTGGAGAAGGAAATTAAGGAAACTGAGGGAAGGGAATTATGGAAAGAACTGTGAGTGATTCCAGGTTAAATCCAACTTTCCACACAAAAAGAAGGATTTTAGTGGAAACCAGGTTGCTGACAAGGAATCCTCTGGGATTGGATGGGAATGGCAGGGGGAGGAGGATGAGTGCTCTCAGTCAAGATTAGATCCCAGATACTCCATGTATTCAGTATTCCAGCCAGAATAATGTGGGAATCTGCCCTTTGGATAAACATGGAGGTGCTGGGGTCCTTCTGCAAGGAAGGTGAGTCCCAACTGGGATTTTCCCAGTGAGGGGCATGGATTTGGGGTTGGAAAGCAGGATCTCCCTGCCTGGGGCTGTTCCCAGTTCTTCAATGCCATGGAATTCATATTCTGGAAGTCGGAAAAGCTTTTTTTTTATGGATTACAGGGTCAGAGAATAAGGAGAGGAGACGAACCAGCAGAAATCCAGGGAAAAGGAATGCCTGGAAGCACCTAATCCTGTGAGTGGCTGCCTGGAATGGTTTTTCTGGCTGCTCCCGAAGGGACTGGCAGGGAGTCCCTGATAGTCAAAGGCGGCTGAACTCCTGAATTCCCATAAAAATGCCTCTCAAAAGTGCTGGAATGTTGGTGCCTGATGTTTTGGGGGTGGATTTGTGGGATTTTCCTCCCTCCCCGGAGCCGTGTCAGTCTCCTAAAAGGATCTTGACTCTCCTGGGGAAGGGAAAACATCCGACTCTGGCTGCTATCCTTGGATAAACATGGAATAATCCATGTTTAGGAGGGGCTGCTTTAATTCAGGAAAACAAATGGATGTGGACATGGCAGGAATGGTGGAAGCTGCTATAAAACCTCTGAAAAGCCTTAATTAGGGATGGAGTTGGACTTTCCAAGGAGATTTTTCTGGCTGCTAGATGTGCTGGTGACTTTAGGAAAAAATGCCAGCTTGTGGAGAAAAGTGGTTTTCAACCCACTGGAAAAAAAAACATTGGGAATGACACAAAACCCCCCAAATTTTCCAAGAATTTTTGAGCCAGGCTGATGAATTCCCAAGGAAAGAAAGAGGGAAAATAATGGGAATATGTCATTAATGAAAGCTGTGATCTGATTGTTAATTATTTAAATGGAAACCAGCATTGCAGAAATTAATTCCTCAGGATTTTTCCAAGGATTCAGTTGGAAAAGAGGAAAAGGAAACGGAAAGATCCTTAAAAAAATCAGCCTGGAATGTGATGAATTCCTGTTTTTCCACAGGGATAATGTTCTGGTGGGTTGAGTTACACTTCTTTGCCAAGTGATTTTTCTTAGAAGTAGTTTTAAGGGATCTAAAACCAAGGATTTTGGTTTGGAATCCCAGCAGGATTCCTGGCTGGGAGGTGCTTGGTGCAGGAGAACTTCATGTGCTTTAATTCACACTGACCAGAGAAAATCGGGATGATAATTCCAGTTATGGGGGGGGGATATTCCCTGGGCTGAGGGTGGATTAGCACAGGGAGATCAGGAGCCAAGGAAAACCTTGGAAAACTGGTGGGAGAGAGGAAACAGTGGGGAGAGAGACTGAGTGTGGTGGGAGCTGCTGAAGGGCCACCACGGCAGAGGTGGATCCCAATCCGTGTGTACTGCCCTGGAATCACGGATCTGGGGATCGAATCCATCATTTAGCTTGGAAAAGCCCCTGCAAATGAAATCCAGATGTAATTCCTGGGCTCCTCCAGCAGCATTTGAGTTTTCCTGCTTTTTCAGCCCTTGGCTTTCCCTGCCTTTCCAGCAATCCCTGCTGGCCCTTCCTATCCTGGAGCTTGCTTGGAAAGCAAATCCAGCTTTTGTGGGCATGTTTGTCCTGCCAAAGGTATCCGAGGAGTTGGGATATCCTTGTTGGGATCTGCAGGAGCAGGAGGGTGACTCTGCCAAGCATTCCAGGGCTGGTTGGAGCCCTCACACTTCCAGCTGCACTGGTGTTCCAGGATGGAAGCGTCTCCTAGAATGTTCCTTCCTCCCCGAGGATGCTCCTTGGTCCCTTTATAAATCTGTGGAAGTGCCGTGTCTGCCTTGGGAATGATCCCTTTGGAGCGAGTGCAGAACCAGGGAGGGATTTCTCGGTGCTAGGAGGAGAGAATGGAGTGGTGGGAGCTTCCCTAGGAGTGTGCGGGGAATCCTGGGCTGCCTTCCCTGTTCCAGGGAACCTCCATGGCCAATCCAGGCTTTGTGCTGCTGTTTTGGATCACAACTGGAAGCCGGGCTGGGAGAGCTGGGAATGCCCAGCCTGGAGAAGAGAAGGCTCCAGGGAGACCTGAGAGCCCCTTGCAGGGCCTAAAGGGGCTCCAGGAGAGCTGGAGAGGGACTGGGGACAAGGGATGGAGGGACAGGACACAGGGAATGGCTTCCCACTGCCACAGGGGCTGTGGAGCTGGGATATTGGGAATACATTTTTCCCTGTGAGGGCAGTGAGGCCCTGGAATGGATTTCCCAGGGCAATGGTGGCTACCCCATCCCTGGAAGTGTCCAAGGCCAGGCTGGATGGGTTGGAGCAACCTGGAATAGTGGAAGGTGTTGGGATTAGAACTGGATGATCTTTATGGTCCCTTCCCACCTGCACCATTCCAGGATTCTGGGATAACCCTGGGAACACGAGTTCTGAAATAACTTGGAGCCTTTTGGGAATCAGCGACTTTGGCGGGATTTGGGGCTGTTTGGGGGCAATTTGGGG